ATTTTAAACAGCTATTTCCAATCAGTGTTCACAAGCCATGTACCTTTCCGTGTGAAGCAACTTTGACCATACCCCTAACCGTGCGCCATCTATGCCACCCATTTGAATTACAACTGCTGGTATCGCTACGCTATTGGATAACCTAAAGCCACACAAGGCCGCTGGACCTGATGGCCTTTCTCCCATGGTCCAGGATGACCTTGACTGGTTGCGGAAATGGGAGGCAACTAGGAGGATAAAGTTTAACAACACTAAGTGTGAGGTGTTGTGGATTTCGCGGTCTAAAACCCCAATACAACATACTTATTACCTGAATGGCACTCCACTAAGGGAGGTTGATCATGGGAAAGACCTACAATCTTGGACAAAACTGTTGAGAAAATTGCCTTCTTGGGGGTCATTTTTTCTAAACTTCGTAGCCGACCCATTCTTCCCTCCCCCTCTCCCCCTGGAAGCAGTGTTGTTGGGTCTTCAAAAGAAAGCCGGATCCCTAAGCATTTGTAGGAAGCAACTTTGAACTGGGGGAGGGGGTTTTCTTTACGCAAAGCCGTTGATTTAGAAGTAGTTTTGTTGCGTTAGGTAGTGCACATTAATGAAAACATTTTCTCAAGTAGTTTTGTCCAGGATTGTATTTGACTGGAAAAGTCGATTTTGAGCATTTAATGCGGGCACATAAATCTGTTCTTTATTTTTTTCGTACATTTCACAGAAAAGTAGATAATTAATGGAAAATAAGTGACAACAGAGGAGGCGATGACAAGAAAATCAACTTGGATGTCTTTCTTGATTCAAGTAACCAATCGTGAACGTCTGTGAATTTCATTTTCCACGCAGGGTTTTTACGCGCGCTTTGAGTGCAGCGGAGCAGGCATACATTACGGTTTTGGCGGACGAGAAGGACGTCTCCGTCAAGGAGATTAGCCAGAAAACGGGAATTTCACCTGCTACGATTCGACCAACAAATAACACATGAAACTTTTTGCTGACATTTCAGAGCGCGTGACCCATACTTTGAACAATTTTCCCATCGGCGAAATAGATAAAACAATCAAAGTCAGTGAACAAGCGCTTGCCATTAAATAACAGCATCAAATGGAGAGAGGATGAAATATTAACAAAACTTGTATTTTTACTTTCCAAATTTGAAAGCTTACTTTTGACACTGTAGCGATGTGCAGTGCAAAAAATCGCACTATGAAATCTAGAAATGTCACGCGCGGTAACGTGACAAGATGTACTATCGTGTGACCTGTAAGAGTGCATGTTTTGCCCTCGGGCTATTTATAGCTTACATATGACTGGAAGAAATTATGAGATAAATTCATCATTTGTAAAGCAAGAGATAGTAAAAATTGCCATAGTTGTCTTCTAATCTCTTTCTCTCCACAATATCTAAGATTCGGAACGATTAACAGGACATTTTTAGGGTGCTACCAAGATTCGCAACGGTTAACAACGATTAACAAGGACGTTTGAAAAGAATCAGAAGGTCATTTACTTTTAAAAACGAAATGGTGTTAACCGTTTCAATGCTTTGTTAATCGTAACATTATTCTATCCATGGAATTATTATAAAAAGTTAACCGATTTGTAGCAAACGAGGTTTCTGTAACCTTCATAGTTTAGCGAATTTTAGGATCTGAGAAGCAGTTTCCACGTGACGGGATACGTTTCCATATTGGCTTCACTATACGTCACTAAATAAACACTACGAACTTCTTTTCTTCTAAGAAAACCGTCATCCAAGTCTTTTCCTGACTCTTCTGAAAACTATAAATCACTTTCCACACTTTCCAAGCCTGCCAGGTTTGAACAACACGAAAACATGTAACAATGAGCACGCGTTCTACGGCTATCGCAAAATCTTACTGTTTTAAGAGGGTACAGCCAAAAACGTGTATGAGGTGGTACTTTTCTACGAGAAGATGGTGTGCCGTGAAACTTTGTGCTTAAAGGAGCTTCTGTAAAGTGCTTTTTATTGGTAGGTTTCCGTTTTGTCCGTGTTAATATTCTTGCTAAAAAACGCGAATCACCTTATATACAATCTTGGACAAAACTGTTGAGAAAATTGCCTTTGGGGGTCATTTTTTCTAAACTTCGTAGCCGACCCATTCTTCCCTCCCCTCTCCCCTGGAAGCAGTGTTGTTGGGTCTTCAAAAGAAAGCCGGATCCCTAAGCATTTGTAGGAAGCAACTTTGAACTGGGGGAGGGGGTTTTCTTTACGCAAAGCCGTTGATTTAGAAGTAGTTTTGTTGCGTTAGGTAGTGCACATTAATGAAAACATTTTCTCAAGTAGTTTTGTCCAGGATTGTAGCTAGGTATATGGTTCTCAAAAGATCTTAAGTGGAATCGACACATTGACGAGATAACAGCCAAGACAAACCGCACGCTTGGCTTCCTTAAAAGAAACTTACAGGTAAATTCGTCAATGTTAAAAGCCAAAGCTTATAAAGGCTTAGTCCGCCCCCAGGTTGAGTACTCCTCAAGTGTTTGGCACCCCTGCCCAGGCATTGAGAATAATGGTTCAAAAGGATACAGCGCCAGGTGGCTCGATAGTGCCTGCGCTGATACAACAACACATCTAGCATCACCAACATGCTTGAAGACCTGGGATGGCTCCCATACAGCATTGTCGGATTGACAGTCGGCTCACGGCCCTCTTTAAAATCACACGGGGTCTCCTCTCTGTTTACTCTCATGGGCCTCTGGCAGGACACGTCGTCCGCACTCAAAAAGTTTCATCCTGCTGCAAACTAGCCTGTCCTCTGAGTGACTATCCTTTTTCTCGTGAACAATTATTCAGTGGAACAATTTACCTTCTTCTGTCTTTAGCGAACACTGCTCTTTAGATTCTTTCAAAGCCCATGTAAGTTGCCTAAATCATGTACCTGTTGATTAGCCTATTAAGTTAACTTTTTATTTTGCTGACCAACCCAGCCAATTATCCTCAAATGTGAGGGGTAGGCTGCACAAGGTAAATGTAAATTTAAATCCTTGCCTCTTAGAAGTCTTGCTTCTTGAGTCCCCTATGCAGACCGTCTCCGTTCACAACGACCAAGTCTTACCCATTGATTGTAGGACCTTCGGTATGTTTTGTTATATGTCTGTCGGAATTTCGTAAGTCAAGAACATACTCGGTTCTCCCCTGTCTCCAGAAGTGATCCTTAAGTATTTCTTTGGGCTACTCTCCGTCTAACATCTTCAGCGTGAAATTAATGGATTTCAAATACTTCTCCTTGGTCTGGCATAGACAACAAATGGGAAGGAGGGAATGATTCTTTTGTCTCCACTACCGGATGCAAATATCAAGGGCTTGGAGATCCAAGTTGCCGCTACTTCAACCAGTACTGTTTGTAACAGCTCAGCAGTGACCTGGCATTCTTACGAGTTCTCTATAAACTCTACTTGACGCTCTTTACCAGACGTTTGAAATTCACCCCCTCCCCCTTCCACGATGGGGCCCTTTGCAGGTTAAAGGTCCATTTCTCTCGTTTGTTTGCAACGTGTCCTCTTACGTGAGGTGATTTGAACAAGGACTTTAACATCTTAAAGGCTCCCATAAAAGTCTTTTCGTTGTCCGAATTTATTACGCGAGGTAGTCCTCGAAAGTAACGAAACGACAAAAATTTCTAATCAAAGCTTCTGTTGTCAAATGTTTTATTTTTCTTCTCTGATTTCCGAGAAAGCCGCATGGGGGAATGATTGACAGATGTCCAAAGTAGATCTCAAAGCCCAAAGTGAGACAGTGTCTCACTTGTCCGACTTTGTCTAGGCCTCAAAAACTTGCTCGGACCACGTGACCCGAAACTCATCGGCCGCGCGCAATTATGAGGTTTAGGGAACTAGGCAAGGTCCATGCTACATAGCGTTTTGTCGGGGTCCTCTCTTCCAGCGATAAATCTTAAGCTACTTCCTTTAAATCCAGGACAATTTAATTTTGCTCCTAGTTGTACTGCAATCACAGAACTCACAGGTTATCTGGACTTCATCTTCTTCTACTACTGTATTATAATTATCACGAATGGAGATCTGGGTACCCTGATAACACCTTTTCAATAATATCTCATTGTCATTGATCTGACGTGTCAAGTTCTTGGAAGTGGAAATAAACCATTTGCAAGTCTTGCCTTAGTTCGGAGGTGCAACTAGTAACCTCCATCGTTTTCACCTTCTCCAGTAATGTCTTCGACATAGAGACATTGAAGAAGTCTCTGCCCAAAGTCTTAAACTGGCGCGTAAACTGACCATATTTGAACAGCTTGGTGTATGAGTCATTACTATTAATTTATTCAAAATATTTTTGTTTGGCTCAAATCCCCCGGCTGATCCTTCATGACCAACTGGGGTTGACCAAATTTGGAAGATTGATCGAGTTTGATCTATGGTATAGTGACATGGAAACGAGACTGTTTGGGCTTTATACCGTGGATAAACCTCGTTTCAAGACGCGGCCGCCCAGCTGTTTATTCACAAGTGAACCAAAAAAATGGCGTTCATGGGTATCAAGGCAAAGAGGAAATAGCTGAATTTCAGACTGAAACTGAACGGAGGAACTGCGAGGATACGCAAAACATATTGCTCGATGGATGTTATCTACTTTTTAAGTAGTATTTGGAAGAAAAAAATAGAAAACTGGGTCGAGAAATAGGCCAAAGTTTTGAAGAAAGTCTACGAGGAGGTATGTTTGTTAAGAAATATTTTTTATGAATAATAAAACAATTATTGACTTCGGCTTTCGTATGATGTGAAGATGTATGTTGAGTTCAGAAGCAGTTATACAGCTGTTGTCGACCTTGGTGAATACCGCACTCCCGTATGTCAATAAATAAATAAATAGTGATTTGGAGGTAGCACAACCACATAGTGGTTCTTCGTATACCTGATTTCTGGTCGAATTGTAATTTGGAAATGTTGGTTCTTGAGGAGAGGGGAAAACAGGAGTACCCGGGAAAAAACCTCTCATAACCAGGGAGAGAACCAACAACAAACTCAACCCACATATGGCGTCGATGTCGGGATATGACTCAGGGCCACATTGGTGGGAAGCGAGTGCTCTCACCACTGCGCCACCGCATCCCAATCTGCGATTGATAAAGGCTTTACGTGAACTCAGACGAGCCACAAACGTAATGTGGTAGTAATAAGCACGTGTCAGAGACCGCTGTTCTCCGTGATTTTGGTAAGTTTTTGCTTGACAGACGTTTGTTTTGGCTCCACAATCAAGCTGACCCATTTGGTAATTGGTAAGACTGATGCTACTTTGAGTTCATTTCATGAATGGTTCAGTATCAAACATTTAAGAAGACCAAATCTATTTTATCGATGGCAATTGGAATGTGAAAGTGAACATTTTGGAATTTGCATAAGGAGGAGTGATGTGACAAGTTTGGTATTCTGCACCCGATATAACAAGTCCTTGTTTGGACCATTGTGCCTCAAGAACAACCATGCGCTTGGTACAATTGAAATCAGTCAAGTGGTAAAATGCATTCGGTTCAAGAAGTCTAAATTTTCACAAAGCCCATTCGACTGCAAGTAGGAACCTTCTGCTCCTCTCTGGAGATGTTGAACGCAATCCAGGATGGCATGAAATTAATGTTGCTTGATTTATCAATGGTATTACGCAACCTACAAATCCAACTGTACCTGCTGATAATAATCATGGAATCAGTGGAGGTATAATTCATCGCATACCCGTGCACGTATCTATGAGAAGGCATATCATTTAATGGTTGGACAGCAACAGACAACTCGTCACAATCGAATTATTACCATACCTCGTACTCCAATGGTTCCCGCGTTTTAACCGTGCAAAGCAGTTGATTTTTGCCTTTTGAATGTAAGGTCTATCAAGAACAAGGGAATACTCTTAAATGACTTTGTTGTTGAAAACAAAATCGATATTATGCACTTACGGACACGTGGTTAATTTCAGCAGAAACTGATAATCTAATTCCCATAAATGAGTTGACGCGTAGCGGGTACTCTTTCAAGCTCTTCACTAAAGATGATTGGGGTGGAGCTGTTGGTATTCTGTTCAAACAGCCTCTGCAGCTGAAAGTGAAACCCTGTGTAAGAATTAGTACTAAACTCATCCAATAAATCGATTAGAATCATTTATGTTTTATGACCTCCTCCTTTCAGTGGAATCGCACAACCATTCAGCTGTTCCTTGAAGAGTTTACAAGTTTTCTTAAGGAGTTTGCAGTTGACACAAGAAAGATACTTATTGCTGGTGACTTCAATTTCCATGTTGATGTTTAAAGTGATGTTAATGTATTTGATTATACACAGTTTGTAAAGGACCCGATACACAAGCACGGTCACACGGTAGATCTCCTTCTCACTAGGTCTGAGGGTAATCTGGTACATAAGTTAGCTGTATCTGTCCCTAATATGTAAGATCATGGAGCTGTCCGCTGTAAGATCATGCTGGCTAAACAACCTATTGAGGAAAAAGAAATCAAATTCAGGAGTCTTATGCGAATTAATATGTCCCGCTTTCTAGAAGATGTACTGGACTCTTGTAGTTTCAGGAATGATACGGTATCTCTTGAAGAACTAGTTGAGAGATACGATACGACACATACTTCGGCTCTCGATAACCACGCAGCTGTCAAGCAGAGAGTAACCACCTTACGTCCATCAAACCCTTGGATCATTGATGAGATACGAAGACTAAAATCAAAGAGGAGACGGCTATAAAGACGCTGACACAAGACGATGTTAACAGTGGACAGACAAATCCAACAATGTAAAACTGATCATCTTACTATACGCGAGGCAAAGACTGAGTACCCATCAAAAAGGATGGAGATCAGAGGAAGCTATTTAAATCTCTGGATACTCTTCTTAAAAGGTTAAGTTGAAAGAAAATATCCATCCTGTAACTCTGCTGAAGAACTGGCTAACAACTTTGCCGACTACTTTGAAAACAAGATAGCAAATATTAGATTGTTGGTGGCATCTAAGGCTGTTGCCCCCACCAATTATGTTCCTGATTCTAGTCTTTATCAGAGTGAGGTGAAATTCCATCAGTTTTCACCTGTGACTGAAACTGGGATGAAGGGATTAACTGGAAAAATTGCTTGTAAATCATGTCATCTCGACTCAGTACTCTGACGTACTTCCATTTATTACAAAGATTACTGACTTGTCTATTTCTGAAGCGATAATGACATCACGCTTAAAGTCTGCTTCTCTCTCACCTCTTCTCAAGAAGGCCATGCTAGATAGCGGTAAATACAGCAGTTATCGTCCTATTCTAACTTAACTTTTGTGTTTAAGTGCATAGGGAAGGTTGTAGCGACCTAGATATGTAATCATGTGCAGGACAATAATCTAAATGAGGTCTTTCAATCTGCGTACAAGTGCTACCATAGCATGGAAACCGCATTGACCAAGGTTCACGACGATATCTTGCGATCCATCGACAACAAATGTTCTATGATATTGCTGCTGTTGGACCTCTCCGTAGTATTTGATACGGTAGACCGTAATACCTTACTAGAGCGATTGTCACAGAGGTTAAACAGTGCATTGTTATTAATTGATTTTTTAAAAAATCAATTGTTGTTGTAAAGTACCAATGGGCAGCAATGGAAATGGCGCTATAAAAGTAAATGTTACTATTATAATTAACAATTATTCCACGAGGGCGCGTTGGATATGAGATGATAGATAGCCAACGAGGCGCATAGCGCCGAGTTGACTATAATCATTTCATATCCAACAAGCCCGAGTGGAATAATTGTTTTATTAAAAACGCCCACAAAATCTCGTTGAATCGCCCCGACTAGAACAAACCGGAAAAGACAAGGGACTTTCGCTATTCACATGTCACACGTCTATCAAAACTGTCAACGCGCGAACGGACTCGCCTGGACTGCATGAATGAAAAATCAAAACATTGTAGCGATGAACATTAGTTTTTTAAAAACTCATCGTGATTCTAGGATTTTACACAGCAGAACAGCTTAAAAAACCTGGCAGATAATGTGAAGGAAAGGAATTTTTAGGTGACAGCCGTCGAAATTACTATGAATTTGGATTTTCGGTGCAGTTATAAAAGTAAGAACAACGGAGAAAAACCACCGGTATCACCTCGGTCGCTTGTTATGAAGTTGTTTGAAGCCACACAAAAAAGAAAGAAAGAAGCTATACTGCCGCCTCGATTGCTCTAGTGAATGGCTGCATAGCCTGTATTTGTAGCTGGTTACTTGTGATTTATATTCTTGATGTGGGATAAACAAGCTGCAGTTATCTATCGGCGAGTGACTCGATCGGCGAATGGCTTCGCGATCATGAAGAAACAACACTTGTCTTCTTTCGTAGCTGGTCAAGGTACTTTAGTTCCATGTGTTTTCATGTGTTTTTCGACAAACTTTCAAACAACGTCTTGTTGCTTTTTTGTTTGTTTTTGTCTTTTTTCTTTCGTTGAAATTGCATTTCTAGTATTCTAAGAAATGAATTAAAACGATTTGCTTCGGACGCCGTTCTATCCTTCGCGAAAAAAAATCTCAGCTAGCTTCCAATTTTAAACTGACGCGTACACCGACCATAATTTATATGGAGAACATGGCATATTAGCTCATATACCATAACGGCTAAGCCAATCAAAATGCTAGAATTGCATTATCCAATGATTCAGTTTTTAATAACTATTATTATTATTAAAGCCAGCTGGTAAAAGTGAAGTCGTTGTCGGTTGGTCACGCACCCTTTACTATGAAGCGGCCAATAGACAACTGTCAGACCACATATTTTACAAACGCCTCCATCAGGAAAAGGTTAAATCCACGGTCAATGATATGATTGCTATGTATGCATTACCACTTTCAGCCAAACATCTCATTTTTACCTTTTACCACGCCGCGTACATCCCGATTTTATGTCCTACCGAAGATACACAAGACTAACAACACTGGTCGACCCATTGTCTCTGCCTGCAGCTGTCCAATGGAAAACATTTCAGCCTTTCTGGATGAAGTCATGACGCCTCTAGTCAGGGGTCTTCCTACCTATGTTAAAGACACTAACCATGACTTTCACATCTTCGACTCATTGAGATTTGACACCACCGATCCAGGACAGCGCTTCCTGATCACCATGGATGTTAAATCCCTTTACACAGTAATTCCCAATGATTGTGGATTGCAGGCGTTGACTTGCTCCTCGAAGACGCATGACGTGAAAGTGCCTTCAACAAGTACTCTTATTAGACCCGCCGAACTGGTACTCAAGTTAAATGCTAACGGGAGCAAAATGGGGCCTAATTATGCCTGCGTTTTCGTTGGGTACGTTGAGCACCAACTCCGGGAACAGTACACAGGCTGTGTTCCCCAATTACACAGGAGGTATATCGACGACATTGTTGGAGCAGCTTCATGCAGGAGAGAGGAACTGGAAGCCTGTATCAACTTTGGGGATAAATTCCACCTGGCCTTTCAAATCACTTCCTTTATCTTTGAAATAGAGCTCCCCGTTTTGGACATCGCCTTAAACATTTCTTATACTAGAATTTAGACGTCTGTGCACTACAAAGACACTGAAACTCACAACTACCTCCAGTTTTCTTCTTTCCATCCTCAGCACTACAAACGTCCAGTTTCTCCACCGGCGCCCCCTTTGCTCTAGCGATGATGACTTCCTTGTGCGATTAAAGGATATGGTTTCATTCTTTACTGACCGCGTTTATCTTCTTTCCTCTCTTGAAAACGATATAGAGAGAGTAGTAACCATTAGTGGTAATGACGCGCTGTACCCGTCCGAACAGAGTGACACAACCGTTGATAGGGTGCCCTGATTCTCATATACCACCCGTTTTTACCAAAATCAAACGGTTTCTACTACAGAACTTTCGCATTCTATCAACGGATGAGCAAACTCGATGTGTCCTTCCACAACCACCTTTTGTGGCCTTCCAGTGCGATGTCAGTTTAAAAAAACACGTTGGTCCATTCCACAGATCACTCTTCTACGGAGCAGCCTGTTTCCCGCGCGTGTCAGCGTCCTTGATGCAACACCTGCTATCACATAAGTTCCGTGGGCTAAGATGCGAGGTCCTAAATCTTCCTTTACCATCCGTGACCATTTCACCTGCCGGTGCTGGAATCTTGTCTCTTGCATATCCTGCTGCCGATGCCCACTTTACATTGGTGTGACTGGACGAAACCTCAGGACTCGCTTTAGCGAACATTTGGGAAGTGTATATGTAACAACACTCCTGGCTTTCCTTTGGCCCAACATTTCAACTCCATGGCCCACCGTATTTCTGATGTCCCGGTGCTTGGTGTGGCTCTATGCAGTGGAACTAACACACAACGAGAGCAGCGTGAGATAAAGTTGATTTTCCAGCTAGGCACCATTCAGCGGAAAGGAATGAATATCAATTTCAGTTTCATTTGAACTGTCATTATATACATTTTGCACGCGTTTCGATCATTTTTACGTCTATGGAAATTGCGTAGTGCAACGGTTTTCCTCACACTGGTGAAGGGTTATACACCCGAAACGTCCGTTTTTTAAAATATGACATTTTTTGATATTTTTTATGGAATATCACTTCATACAATTGCTAATTGTTATTCTTTGCCTTTTCTGATTGGCTTTAATCTCCCGGCTCATTTTTCTTAACCAACTGGTGTTTACCATATTTGGAAGATGTGAGTAATATACCATCGCTTCGATGGTATATTGGATTATTTGATTGGAACAAGGCTGCTTGGGAGATAGACCATCGATCAACGTCATTTCCAGGCGCGGCCGCCAAGCTGTTTTTCACGAGTGAACTAAAACAATGGCCTTATGGCTATGTAAAGACGAAGTTGCTGAATTTCTGATTAATATGAACGGAATAAATTCAAGAATACGCGAAACATATTACTCGATGAATGTTATCTACTTTCTGAGAAGTACCTTCAGGAAAAAGCATCTGTTAATATCCTAAAACCGAGAAGTAGGCACTAAGGTAAAGACAGTCTACGAGGAGGTAAATAATCTAGAAATATTTTGAATGAATAATAAAAGACCATAAAACATTATCACGTCGGCCCTCAGTGTCGGTGCATAACGTCCTCCATCTGCATAATTCTTCCCATAATACTCAGACTCATTTAATAATTGCTAAATATGCCTTTATGGTTAAGCCAATCAAAACGCCAGAATTGCAATAACCAGTGATTCAGTTTTTAATGAAAATTTGTCATTTTTATTGACGTAGAGTACGCCTTGACTACCTTAAAAGAAGTCTTCAAGAAATCGTCTCCTTTTTGTCATCTTCAATGAAATTATGTATCATTCAATGTTACGATAAATAGCCTTACATCAATTAGTTCCAGTAAAATTAACAAACTGCTGAAATCATATGTACGTAATCAGTCATCACAAGTCATTCCACTCGATTAGACAATCTGTTTATTAACCTCATGCATCGGCTGGAAGCCGATCAGGGAATTTTGCGTGGCATCTCATTGGCGTTCCACATCTGAGTGTCGACAAACCCGTCAATTCCACTTAATTCCGAGAGGTTTTACCTTTAAATATTCTGGAAAAAATTACCTGGCCTCGAGGTGCCCTTTATGTTGCTTTAACCTGGGGCCAATTTAAGAAACTTTTATAAGTGTAATTCACAGGTGTAGCTATTGTTTTCAGACTCTAAAACAATAGCTTCCCTTGTAATTACACTTGTAAAAGTTTATTACATTGACCCCTGTTCATCGCTGTTAATTTCTGTCTGTAATTCCTTGCCGCAGTGTTAGTCTTGTCCACTTTCCTGAATCACATTAAAGATTTTAAACATTGTTTCAACCAAAAAACTTAATTCGCAATAGCACCTGTCACTTACCGTTAACAAAACAACATGATGAAAGAGCCCTGCCGTGATCTGCGTACTCAAATGAATATCCTATGCATTCGAAGGCCAGACCTGGCTTTGCATGCTTAATCGTTTACACAGATCAAATAGGGATTTGCCGATCTTGAAAACTTTACTTGACTGTAGGAACGAAAAGACCGGTAAATGTACAAGATGAAGTTGAAGTTTTTTTCATTCTTCATTGTTGAAATCAACCAAATGATCAATACCCTAGGGTCATACATACCGATGTACAGGCCATATATTGAATATATTGGCATTAGTTTAAGTTACCTTTCAAGACAAACAAATAATTTTGTCTAAGTTTAACTAGCCATCGTAAAGTTTATGCTGCGACCGCAAAGTTATGACAAGAAGCCTGAAAGTGGATGTAAATTAGCTATATAGTAACAAAGCAATTTTCGGCCATTTTATTTCTTCAGTCTAAAGCATTGCACTGTCTGTTTTTAAGGAGTTTGAGCGCAGCGAGGTAGGAGGCACAGAGTCTTCTTGGTTTATCTCCTTCAGAACAGAATACGAACTTGCGAAGTTTGAACGTGCTTTGTTGGAGGCTTGGAAAGAGCTGTTTCAGGTTTGTATTTGTACAGTAAAAACTTCTATTAAGTGGACACCCATGGGACGGTTGCAAGTGTTCATCACAGTCAGTTGATGCACATGCACATTAGATACCATTTGTTAGCTGATTTGCATATAACGTGAAACAGAAAGTGACGTGACAAGCCCTTCATTGCTACCATCTGCACAGCTCGCTAAGCGCCGAATAAAAAACGCAACAACAGAGTGTGACTCGTGCTGGGTGCCTAATGGACAGTAAGGACCATTGCTTTATTAACAAAATGTCTGAACGATAAAATTTTAGAAACTACATAGTGACATAGTTGGAATAGCAATTACAAATCAGCTCAACGATAACTTACCAAATAATCTTAAACTTAATGTCAAAATCACAAATTCATATAAACTATAAGATCTACAAATCTTGTGGCTTATATGGGGTGTCGACCGGCATATCGGCCGATCTACAGACTGTATCGGTCAAGCATCGGCCGAATATCAGTTGAGTGTCGGTCGACATATCGGTCAATATTTCGGCGGAGTGTGGGTCGAGTATTGGTCAAGTGTTGGTCGCTGTATTGACCAATCATCAGTCTACCATCAGTCGACAGTCGGCTGCGATAGTAACAGAAGTGTGTCAGTAATGTATCGGTGAACCTTCGGTCGAACATCTGCACCGCCTGTTCAACTTTCATACCGACGTCTTCTATAGTGGTTTTCTCTTTGTTTAATACCAGTGGTGTAGCTTCCTTGGACCATTTTTTTCCTGTATGCCTTGTCGGCAATGGAATGCCATAATTTTCTGTGAATAAATTTCTTTTATGTGCCCAACAAAACAAATATGCAGAGAAATAGTTACCTTGAAAGAGGAAAGGATAAATGATGGCTACATGAACAATACAGTTGATGTGAGGCCTAGACCTCCAGCGGTCGTCCTTCTTTCCGTACAGCCATGCGCCGACGTTAACCAAACATGACAAATGAAATAGTGCAGATAACAAACAACAATGAAAAGACAAAACAAAGAATTAAAGCTAAGAGAAAAACCTAGAAGAAATGCATAGCGATGATACGCTGCCCGGTACGAAAACTCGGAATAAAAACCCAATACACCGTATTCACAAATGGCGGACACGCGGGAAAAAACTGGTACCTGGTCATGAAAGCGAGGCGTTGCAGGATAAACAAAAATTGCAAATGAAGACTTTAAGCGGACTTGCAGAGTGTTAAGCACGGCTTTTACCTGAAGTGACTTTCTGCGGACTTCTTTTCAAATACAAGTACGTGGGATGTCTTCAGCCTTTAATGTTTATTACTGGTTTCCTCTGTTTGCAATCAGAAGGGACGCGCATATTTTCAAGGAAACAGGATGATTTTGTAATTGCAGGTTTCCGAAGAATCAGAAACTCGACAAGTAGGCGATGGCTGCAGAATATCTTCAAACATGTTGGTCCAAACTTCACATTGAAACCGAGTACGAAAGCCAGCTCACTACAATTCTGTAAAACAAAAGTGAAAGCAGATCTTGTTGGCAAGAAAAATAAAATCAGCGACGGATATATGGCGTACTTGTCAACGTAAGAGATCTCTGCCATTGAACAAAACATCGCAAAACAGTTCAAGTAAAGAAATGAAAGAAGAGGTGACTGAGATTTTGAATAAAGTTATGTTTGTTTTTTGTTTGTCAGGACGTTCTTCTCTGGTCTTTATTGATGAAAGACATCAGTTAGAACTAAATTTTTAGTTTAAATTT